CACACACACACACACACACACACACACACACACACACACACACACACGGCAAGTTAATTTAAATCTACACTAAGACAGAAAATGTCAAATCATTTTTGCTGGAACTATATCAAAATACTGAAGGTGACCGTGTCATTTTCTCTCTTGTTCCATCTCACACTGACATTGTGATTGTCAGTGAACTGTAACATGTAATGTGGCATATCTCATTTTATGACTTAAACTGGGAGACGAGTATTCTTCTGTGCATCATAGCCTCCAGTGCTGAGCTGCATTTGGAGCAGAAATGAATTGGGGAAAGCGGTTTATAAGCATCCGAAGACAAGAGAACCCTGACTGCATTTACATTTAGTCATGCAATGCTTCTGCGTTTTGTAATTTAATGGTGTACAGTGTAGGTGGTGGTACGTGTGCTTGGCAGTGGAGGGAGGGCTCTTGTTTGCGTGCAAGTCTGGGTTCATGTGTTTGGCAGAGGAGGCAGGGCTCTTGTTTGCGTGCAAGTCTGGGACCATGTGTGGGCGATGCTGATGCAGTACATTAAATATTAAGGGAGATCTCACAGAGCCCCAAAATAGAAAAAAAGAGTGAAGGACACATAGTGCTACCTTAACAACTGGAATCTTTTAGGAATTATAAAAGAGGATTTAAAAAAAGATAACTTTTATGACGGGTTTTCATTCTTATTAGATAGAAGAGAGAAAAGAGGAAATTATATTTGCACCGAGTATGTCATGCGGTACTCCTCGGGAGTACGTTTTTATTGTCTCCAGTAGTCGAAAATGTCTGGAGCCTGGAGTAGATCCATACTGGGCGTGTTAGGATTATTCATGCTCTTGTAGGCTACAGCATCACATCATAGTCTCGTTGTCATAGTAATGGGGTTACTGAAAACCAAACTCCAAAACACACTATTTGATTTTTGTTGTGGGAATATGAAATATGACGGCTTAAGGAAACAATCCTTTCTGTTTTTGTATCTTTTCTATTTGCATGCTGTTCCGTATGAAAATCTATGTTATTGGTGCTGCTTGTGTCAGCCATACTCGTGTGCCCAGCCCTTACTCAGTGGGTCTGTGAATTATATAACTTCACACTGCTCACTGATGTGTGTTCTGCCATGTTGAGGGTTATTTCAGTTGGCGAGTCAAATTTGCCCAAATATGTTTTTTTTTCCCCTTCAAAATGCTTTTTGTCATATTTGGGACACATTCAGTTGCTCATATTTCTAGTTCGTCAGATGCATCGCAACACATAACAGTATACAATAAATACAACACAACAGCTTGATTCCACCTTTTTTTGCCAACACGTGTTAATCGTATTGTAATTCCCAATGGCAGGAAAAACATGCATTTTAGCCAGTGCATAAAGATCTTGTGACAGATTGCTGTCGATGTTGCACCGCCTTTGTGCGTGGATGTGCGTCTGAAGCATTTTATTTTTAGGCTGTCTTATCTCTGTCACTGTGCTCCTTCTCCCCTTGTCTTTATCAATTTGGCTAGCTGATATTCCCTGCTCATGCAAAGCCATATAACATTAATACATGGAGGAGAAATGTCTGACCTGTATCTCTGCTCCTAATAAGCACAGACACAAATGCACACTGAAAGTCAGAAAGCCATTCAGCCATTAAAACAATGCAGTCTTTGAGGGGCTGTTACCTGGGCAACCTGAGACGAGGTGAGGCTCAAAGCAAGATGGCAGGTTACAGAGACGAGGAGAAAAGGCAGGTTAGACAGAGCCTCTCGCAGACGCTGAGGAGAGAGAACGCATGAAATGGCACATAGATGTGAAGAAATGAATTATTCCAGTAGTGTGATGATAACACAGAAACACAGCCCATACAAACACAACATGTTGGTGGATTACAAGAGATTGGAAGGCTGAGGGAATAAAAATAAAGCTTGTTATTTGTTTATGGTTTTATAGGACATAATCCAAAAAACACGGGGGCTAATTGCCAGGTAAATACTTGTGTTACAAATAATGTTTGTGTTTTAATGACACCTACAGTATTTCTCCATCAAGTCAGGAAATTCACTGAATATCATTTTGAAATGATTCTTTTTCATTTGGTCCACATTGTTGCTTTGGACTTAATGACAAACATAACACCAACAGTTAGAGATTTGCAACAGCTCCAACCCACAATTTGACATAACAATCTACATCACGGCACAACAAGCACACTGTATATGGATTTAAACTGTTCATCCAAACACCCTACCATTGTTTGTGAGAATAAAGACATTCAAATGCATCAAAATTCAATAATAATGTCAAAAAGGCTCTCTTTAGTTGCTTCAACAAGGGTAGGCTAACTTGAAACATGCATACGTATTTACTATGGAATGTGCAATGAATCAAATATTTCATTTAATGATGTTTGAACATGAAAATAACAGAAGCAAATAAAAAAGCCTGCCTTATAGTCAATATGTGCACAATAAAATAGGATGTAAAATGTATATTTTTAGTACCCCGAGGATATCTAATTCAAACAGCTGAACAAATCAGATTTTGCAGTGATTTTCCATGTCGACTTACACTGGAAACTATGATCCAGAGACCTAAGTGGTGAGTGTGAGGAAAGGGAAAGGGAAAGGGAAAGTGGAGCATGAAGTTTTGTTTCTATCCTTGAGGAGCCCCTGTGGATCAAATTAAGCAACACGGTGTACTCCAGAGCAACACAAACATCTCACTGTGCACCAACGCACAGCCGTACTCCACTTACAAAAACAAAAGTCAGTTGACCACAAAGAAACCGGAACAAAGGAGTAGTTCTGACTTGTTTTTCTACCAAACCATGAAATTCCCTTATTACTTGGAGCTCAAAAATCCATTTCACAACGTCACTCTCCCTCTTGTCCGTCATCTCGACCCCTGCCGCCCCAAACTCCCCCAGCCCCTCGCCAGCCACACCCACCACCATCACTAGTATCCATCCCTGTGTAATGATGTAATGAGGTCTGACCCTGGAAGAGAGCAGGGGGAGGGGAGGAGTAAGGAAAAAGGGACTGTGACATCTGCAGGACCAGAGGCAGGGAGCGAGAGAGGAGGAAGGATGGGGTGTAAAATGGGGGAGGGGAGGCAATAAATCAGAGCTCGTATTCATTTTAGCAATGCTGATTCCTGACCTTTCCCTCTGACAGTGACAGAGTGGACAGCCCGCGTGTGTCGTTTGTATTGGTGGATGTATTATATGTTAAATATGAACACATGCACATTTATACTGCTGTGTCCTATTGAGCCTCTTTGTGAACTATAAATCTAACTCCACCCTCTTCCTCAGCAGATAATCAGCACCATGGAAACCCAGGTGTCCAACGGTCCAAGCGGAACCAGTCTGCCTAATGGTCCAGTCATTAGCACCAACGGCTCCACAGACGACAGCAAAACCAACCTGATCGTCAACTATCTGCCTCAGAACATGACCCAGGAAGAGTTCAAAAGTTTGTTTGGTAGCATCGGAGAGATTGAATCCTGCAAGCTCGTCAGAGACAAGATAACAGGTACAACACGTTGTCCACCGTGGAGAAAGAAACCATCATCTACGACTGGCTTTGAGAATCACTAACACCACTGTCTCGTTCTTTGTCTCCAGGTCAGAGTCTGGGGTATGGCTTTGTAAACTATGTGGATCCAAATGATGCAGATAAGGCCATCAACACACTCAATGGTCTCAAACTGCAGACTAAAACAATCAAGGTCAGCAGACCTCTACTCTACAATGTATTTACTCGTCATGTTTTTGATTCCTGAAGATGTGCTAGACAAAAAGGAAGTGGAGATTTTGTCAATTGGGGGCGGGGGGGGGGGGGGCGCGACAGACGTGACAGAGGGAGGGGAAGAAAATGGCGAGGAGGAGGAGGCAGAAGGAAGCGGTGGCCAGAACAAAGGGAGAGAGAGAAAGGGTGAAAAGAGCAGGAGAGAGTGGAGGTCAGAAAGCAAGGGGCGGACAGCATGCAGAGGTTATTGTGATGGAAATGTAATTAGGAAGTCTGACTGCGGTGCACTAGGGTCAGTCCTGGTTACCCCATCTGCCTCCAATCTGGGCTAATTAGAGGGCTTCTTTGTCCCAAAATCAGATGAGGGAAAGAGGGGGCATATTATTCGACACTACTTCCTTCTATCCCCCCGATCTGATCAAAGTAGATCAAAGATTGAGACAAACTGCAGGATTGAGAAATCAAATCTCTGAGAGAGCAGAGCAGGTGATCCTCCAACAGCTGCCGACGAACACAGACGTCCATTGTGACGAATGACGGATCAAACAAAAAGCTATCGGCAGGAAAAGAACTGGATTCAGTCCCTTTTTTAATATTTGTGTATAATGTCATTCAATACTTCTTACTCTGGAACAACCAGGTAGTATGTGTCGACTGTCATGACAATTATTATATGTTATTGTTGATCTTGTGTTATGAATTCAATAATCATCTGATGTATCTATACCTTGATCACTCTGTCTGTAATGAACTTCTCAGCTGTAAAAAATAATCATTCAGCTCCATAGCCTAGTTTTATCTTTCTGATTTCGTAGGAGGCTTCAACAGAGACGGGTGAGGCTTTGAGGGGGGGGGGGGCAGCAGTAGGGTAGGGGGTAGCTCAGAGAGCAGAATGCCAATGACAGGATTAGAGGCCATATGGGCTTCAGGCACCATCTGTACTGTGGGAGCGAGAGGGAGAGGGTTAATTATAGGGCAGCCTTTGCTCCCCGAACACAGCAGCTCCCCCCTGACTCATCTAGAACACCCTAATCACTGCACAACACAACCCTCCTGCTCACACAGTCCGTCTGTGTACACAATAGACACTGGTGCTCAGTGCTGATGGATGAAATCAGAACACCTGTATTCAACTGAAACATACAAGCCCTTTTAATTTGCATCAGTGCTTTCGTTGTGCCTGTGCAATGAGCAAAGTCAATTCGAAAGAGGCAAATACTTCCAAGAATTTGCAAATGATATTTATCACACCAATACATATGTGTGAACAGAGTGTTTAAAAGTTGCCAAGCATCTTGCAAGTCTTGTGATCCACTTACATTGTTTGCTGTTTGCCAGTGGAGCTGTTCTCCCACAGAGGATAGAGACAAAGGAAGGAGGCAGGACAAGAAGGGCAGCTCAGCCTATCTCAGACAACACTCACTCTGTCTCTCCATCACATGCAAACACAGCACTGACAACAATGCACCCAACTGGATTATCTATCACACGTGTGTTCACATGCTCCCATAAACACACCAAAACCAGAATGAGTGTATGGTCCTTTTTTCCCTTTATAATCAATTAGATAAGATGCATGTAAAATGCTAACAGGAAACCATAAGGGATATAAACACAGACGCACCAAAAAACGTCTAATTAAGTCACCAGTGGATTCAGAAAAACACACCAACTAAGGCTGATGTGTGATTCAGTGCACAACAAAGCTGACACTCAGGCTTGTTAGCTGATGATGGTTTCAGTTTGGGTAACGATTACAGTCTTCATAGTGTGTGTGTGACGGTCTCATTGAGCTTAAAGGCACTGATTAAGTCCACAGATAGCGAAGAGTTGGGTCTGTGGAGAGGAATCAGCAGGAGTCACAGTGAGGACTTTGTGTTGGGAACTCACAACAGTTACATCAGGTCTTTCTGACACGTTCCTGTTTGTTTTACTCTGATTTAATCCCTGATTGTATTTGGGTGTTATAGGTATCATATGCCCGGCCAAGCTCGGCTTCTATTCGTGATGCCAACCTTTACGTGAGTGGACTCCCTAAAACCATGAGCCAGAAGGACATGGAGCAGCTGTTCTCCCAATACGGTCGCATCATCACATCCCGCATCTTAGTGGACCAAGTCACAGGTATAGCCTTATTTCACTTCTCAAGCTGTCACTCCAGCGCCCTTTCCATCACTGAATGAAAGACTGGTTCGCCACAGCGCTCCTTGATGCCAAGGTAGTAACATTGGTTTGTATTCTCAATCGGAGCAGGCATATCACGAGGAGTGGGCTTCATCCGGTTTGACAAGCGAAACGAAGCCGAGGAGGCCATCAAAGGTCTGAACGGACAGAAGCCTTTGGGCGCCGCCGAGCCCATCACTGTCAAGTTCGCCAACAACCCCAGCCAGAAGACGGGCCAGGCCTTACTGACTCAGCTGTACCAGACTGCTGCCCGTCGCTACACGGGGCCCCTGCACCACCAGACTCAGCGTTTCAGGTACTGAACATTTTGGCAACTTCACACCACCTAAGAGAAGAAAAATCAATCAGATGAAGTGGCACACCCCGAAAACAGCAAATGTGGTCTAATTTTGTGAGGACAACTGTGTAATCGAAAGCATTCAAAATATTAAAAAAAAACGTTTTCTGTCAATATTAACACAACTTATTAGTGAACTGTTCCTTTAAGCAATATTATAGCTTTACAGTACAGAAGGAATTGGCAATATTGCATTGTCCCTCCTTCTCACTCTTTCTCTCTGACTTTCTTTTAAACTGCAGCATGATCCCTTCACTTGGAAAGGGACCAGATCCAAATAACAGCTCAAAACCAATGTAAGAGACCAGACTTTTCCAAATACAGCAAAAAACCTAAAGCTAAATAAAGTTGGTTTAAGAAGAATAACACTGAACCTTTAACGTTTGCCTATACCACATAGGCACCATGAAGAGTACAATAGCCGGTAATTTTGAATAAAGGTTCAAAAGGTGTCAAAGTCAAAGGCTTCCTGTATTAAACATTTGTGTGGAACCTCACAAACAACTGTAGATACCCTCTCAGGTTGGAATGCTCGCTTACTCAGCATGGATACTTATTTAGACCAGTAGATGTGACATTTAAACTATTAAAGGGGAATCTATTTTGGAAGCTTAACCAACTGAACTCACAATGAAGAATAAATACCAGCTGAGACACATACTCACAGGTCTATCAGGTTGTGGTTGGAGGGTTTGGGACTGCGCTGCAGTGAAGGATGCCCTCTGGAGGCCAGCTGGTGAAGGAACAACATGTAAACTGAAAGCCCCCCTTCCTTGTAGCTCTCATAACTAACTTCTGCATCCCCTTCATTCTCCCTCTTGCGTTGCAGACTCGACAATTTACTAAACGCCAGCTACGGAGTCAAGAGGTAAATGCCAAAGGTGTATTTTCAAAAGCATCCATGCCAAAATAAAACCTCAAACAAAGTGCCTGGAATACCGCCTGCTGACTTCATCTCCAAATCAGATATAATGGCCATCATTTTTAATACCCACAGCCCATTTAAACCATGTTACAGAAGCAGCCCAGACATCAAAATACTATCTGCAATTGCAATAAGCAAGGATGCAAGCTTGTAACAGCAGGGTATTCTGGCATGGCTTTGTTTAACCTTTTCGTTCTTTTATTTTAATTAATAGAAATAATTTACATGTATTTATTTATGAACTAACATTGTCAGTTTCAGTTGCTTTAATGTCCCCTTTTTTTCACCAGCATGGACATACCAGATTCCGTTTGCGTCTCCTCTGTTTGCTCCAGTTTGTGTATGATTTTTATTCCAATTTGCTTTTCATCCCTCTCTAGGTTTCTGTGTTTTGTTCAATGCTGTGATTTCTGTTGAACATTGTGATTCATGTGTTTAATTCTTCCAGAGGCTTTGGTCAGCAGAGAAAATATTCACATTGTGTGGGTGTCTGTGTCTCAGGGCACACAGTGGCATTTTGTATGAGAGCGGGTAGTTTGGAGCCGCTGTGGTGCCCACACATATTTATCTACTTACTGTACAGCAGAGGGGATGGAGATGGTGTCCCCCGACTCCAGTCATTCCTCACAGACACATGCCCATAAAGAGACAGTGTAGAGAACTGGATTCTGTGTGGAACTTCAGAATGACACCCATGGTAGCTCTCCTACTCTCTTCCCCAGGTTCTCCCCCATCACCATTGACAGCATGACCAGTCTGGCCGGGGTCAACCTTACTGGTCCAACTGGAGCCGGCTGGTGCATCTTTGTGTACAACCTGTCCCCCGAGGCGGACGAGAGCGTCCTGTGGCAGCTCTTTGGGCCTTTCGGCGCCGTCACCAACGTCAAGGTCATCCGTGACTTCACCACCAACAAATGTAAGGGCTTTGGCTTTGTCACCATGACCAACTACGACGAAGCTGCCATGGCTATCGCTAGCCTTAACGGCTACCGCCTGGGTGACCGCGTGCTGCAGGTTTCCTTCAAGACCAGCAAGCAGCACAAGGCCTGAGAGAGAGAGAGAGAGGCAGCTGGCACCAGCTCCTTCCACCTGCAGGGAGCAAAACCTGAGCTCCCTGTGCCATCACTCTACATGGGCCTGGACTGAGTCTCTCTCTGACACATTCTCACACAAATCCATAATATATTATCACAGACATGCAGATACACGCAGACACGCACAGACATGAGCAAACAAACCCATTAGCGCAAGCATACACGAGTCAGAGTATCAAACAAACACACTAGTGGAGTTTTTCTTTTTCCTTTACACAACATGCTAGTCCTTCCCTGTATTTGCCTGGATTGAATTAGAAGGGGTACGTAGCTGGTTTGTTGGGTTAGGGGCAAGAGCTATCTATTTAGGAGACAGTCTAACGAATGTGACAGAGAATGTGTACCTACTGCTTTGATTGAATTCAGGCAAATAATGACAACTGATGAACAAACCGATCAAAAAAAAATTTAAATGAACAAATATGTGCAATTTACCCAAACTCTTACCCCACCATCTCTCCTAATATCTTGCTGGAGAGGATGTAGTCACTTTTTTACACTTGGGCATTTTGAATCAGCGATTTTTTTAGATCAAAGAAAATGAAATTAAAAAACAGTGTTCTCTTATATACGTCTATTAAAATATAACTATATATTCAATATTTAAGGTGGTTATAATAGCCGAGTATGTAAGCATTTTCTAGAAACTTTGACTACTGTTTCCTGACCTGAATTAGGTGGTGCCTAGCGTGAAGGCAGTTTCTCTACCCTGTGTGAGCTCGTTAGCTCAGACCCAATAAGATTTCGGCGAACCAATGAATACCGGTCACAGAAAAGAGTAGTCCGACAGCCATCACAATCCCTCTTTCCCTCACAGTCTCACACAACATTAAGAGTACACAGTTCAATAACTAGAAGATATATTTAGTCCACAAAAACATAAAAAGATTTCCTGTACTTCTTGGAATCTATCCTCAGGATGGATTCAAGCAGACTGTCTGTGAACTTAGAGCAGAGTGGCAGTGCTCCCGTGGTGACAGCGCTCATTAGTAAATCTCTAGTGGGCGAGAGAGTGACGACGAGTTGGAGGGGGAAACCGTTTCAACATAACACAGCCACCTCAAAAGGAAAATACCGGTGTTTTTTTCCCTTTTTGCTTCATTTTTTCATTGCACCTGTATTTTATCATTATTACCCACAGGCCAGTTTACTTAGCATGGCTTTGTCAGCCACGATTCGGTGTGATATCCCTTTAACTGAAAGGCCATCTGGTGTGAAGAGGTCAAGAGAGAAAAAGCAAACAACACGTCCAAATGATATTGTTCTTGCTGACATGTTTGGATTATGAATGTGCTCAAGACAGGATACGTCTTTAGATTCATTCAGACAAATGGAAGCAGGGAATTAAGACCCAAGTAGCTGCTCGAAGTAACACACCCCATGGACTGACCAATGGTCTGGGCTGGTCTGCAGAGACACAACACAGATGAGCAAAAACTCAAGAGCACCGGTATTATTCTTCCGTCTAGTGCACAGAACGAAGCTCCCCGAAATAATGAGGTGAAATGTTCAACCATTCACTCGTAACAACGTGCAAAGAGCAGATTCGGAGGAAAACAGTTCCAAATGACTGAACGTTTAAAACTGACTCAGAGTCTCGTGAGCGACAATATCGGGCAATGTTAAAATAATGGCAGATCCTTTGAGGAGAAAAGACTACCACTTCCTCCAGCTTTGCCAAATGCTCCTCCATTTTATTTGAAACCCCTCAATTCTCTAAAAAGCTCCCCAGAAACTTTGAACTCCTGCCCTCTCAAAAGATGACTGTACAACATCAAGCCTGCAAATAAGTGTTGTAATAATACTGCTGTTTACAACAGAGAGGTATTTATTTATTCGCTTCAGATCTGTTTGGCACTAAAATCAAAAATAGCATTTCTCAAAATATCCCCAACCCAATTGCATGAAATTATTTATGGCACCGTGGATGAAACATTAAGGCCAACCTGCCTAGATTAACCATGGGGAGAGCTAGTGTCTTTCAATATCAAGACATCTGCACATGATAATAGATTAAATAAGGTCAACTATATTCAAGACATTTTTGCTTTTGCTTTTCTAAATGATGCTGTGTTAGCCAAAGAGGACGATCTCTTTGAAAGGATTACATTAGAGATAAATCTATTTTTATACATACAAAGGACGAAGACCTTGTGCTGAATTTTTACAGATTCTTAAAGCTTGGAAAAATTGGGACATCGCATGGCTTTATTTTAAACCCTCTGATCTTTGCAGAGCAAGGGGGAATAAGCATGCGGTGTATGGGTGGGGATTTCGGGAGGGGGCAAAGGAACATTGTATCTCGTACAAACTTAACCATATCACATTGATTGAAACAAACTTAACAAAAAGAAATTTGATGTAAAAATCAATGAAATGAAACAGTTGGGGATATAACCTGACCCATTTGTACGTTTGAGTGCTTAGAGGCACTCTCCTCTCTTGTCCTGAAGTTGTGTACAGTGTTGCTTCAATGGCGGTGCAGTGAAGAGAAGTTCTTTGACTTGAGAATCCCAGATAAAGCCGCAGTGAGACCGGCTCATTGCCCAGCTGGAAAACCCAATAGCTGTTTGCAAATTTAAAAAAAAAGGTAAAAAGCAGATTCAAACTGTGCAGCAGAATTATAATGAACACTGAGCATGATTCTTTATGATTAGATAGATTTGATTTTTGCCAAAGAATTGCTTTGCAAGTCAGTACCAAGACGGATAAATTAAGACTAACTATATTATTCCCTGAGTGATTGCTGTACAAATCTATGTTATTTATTGAACAAGGACCCTCTACAATTTCAGTTATCATTACTTTTGAATATCTAAGTTGCACATATCAGTTTGTAAATCCTATAACCACAAACCAAATGCAAAAATGAAACAGTTGCAAGCAAATCCCATTTGCACACATTTCATGCACACACCGAATGATAAAAAAGGCATATCAAAAATAATTCACCTCTTGACAAAGGGAAAAATCGGATGCGTCCATATATTGTATTTCCCCACAACATTTATATCATCTGCTTTGTCTTGTGACCAATTTAATCCTTTAAAACATTGCACCACTTACTCTGGCATCTTTCGATCTGACTTATACTGTTTCATCCCCCGAAATACTCTGAATGATTGTTGCTGGCGTTTCCAGAGCCGACCACATAAAAAGGACTAATCTAGCTATTTTGGGTCGACAGCAGCGTAGGACCGAGCACTTGGTCAGACCAGTGATAGACGTTAAGAACAAGCGAGATAACAGGCCACGTTGAACTGCAGCTGGAGCTGTTCACCCGACCATGTCCGATGTAGTACAGTCCACCAACAAACCAAACCCACAGCCCAAAATAACCTTTCATACACAGTCTATACAAAGACCTACACCGGATGTACAGCAGAGAGCCAAGGATTATGGCAGGAAACAGTACTACACTGCTTGAGCAACAACAATAATCATTTAAAAAGACAAAAAAACTTTCCTATGGAACAGTAAGTGCAATGTGCTTTGTTTTTATATTGACTGAGAACAAATGATATATATTTTTAAAAAAAGAAATTAAACGTCACACTGAAAAGGTTTGCGGGACAGTGAAAGGAGCAGAAGTTCAGACAAAAAAACATTCAAATGAGCAGACTCATTCAAATGAAACAAGCAATGAGAGGTCTGATCTGTAAATTTCCATAATCACTTCCTCAGCCCCCAATTTGTGCTCTGACCATGCAAGCTCAAACAAAACTGCATATTTGGCCGACCGAATAGAGCGACGCTCGAAGACCTTGAAAGGAATACTGTCTAATATATCATCAGTTTTTAGCCCATGTCAATTTCAAATATCATTTTTTTTCCTGTAATTTATTGATTTCATTTACATATCGGACTCACTTGTTGAATTAGCGTATTTGTGTTGTTGATGTTGCCATAGAGAACACACATGGGTCAAAGATCATGTTTGGTTGCATTGATTGGGTACAGTTTGTTATTTTGATTCCATTATTTAATTAGTTGCAGTTTTTACAGTGTATGCAGATTTTAGACTTAGTTAGATTTTTTTATTTCAATCAAACTGTGTTCAATTGTGTTTGTAAAAGTCTGTGGTAGCTTTTGTTGCAACATAAAATAATTTAAACAGAAAAAATTCAAAATAGCGCCAACAAACTTGTATTATTTGGGCGACTTTAAGCTTGTAGTTTTAACTTATTGTTAACTTAAAAACTATTTATTATGATTATTATTATTGCCTCGTATAAAGTATGTTTTGTGTATATTTATGGTTTATTTCATTATATTTGCAAGTTTAAAAGATTTTAAGTTTGCCAAAATTGTGGTTACACCATTATGTTTCTTAAAAAGGGGGACAAATAGAAAAACAGCTTTAGAAGTACGATTTGGAAACGTTCTCCATAGTCAAAGAATGCACTGCTATATTTAACTAATTGAAGTGTACAAACATACATGCTGTGTGCTAGATGTTATGCCTTTACTGCCTGTGTTCTGTTTGTCTTGTTAAATGAAAATCTTTTAATTATTTAATCTAATCACAGTCTTGTTTTTTCAACCACTCTGTGGACCCCCTGAGACGTGGGACAGTCCCTGTAGCGAGAGGCTTTGGCCCATTTGAGGGTCCAGCACCCGGCCAGGAACAAAGGGGATGTCCCAGCTTTGATGAGCTCGCAAGATGCTTTCCTGTTTATGCTGATGGGCTGACTTATGAAAAAAAGACACTATGGGCTCTATTTCTGCAAAAGCATTGTAATGCTGAGATCATCTGTATCAATTTGTGCTATTGAAACTAAGATGCCAAGAGCTCCAGCTAAATATTAGAGCTCAGACAAGCTGCAGGAAGGTTTTCTTGGGAGTCTCGAGGGTAGTAAATGGGTGAGTGGTCCTTCTGTTTCTCAACCAACTGTATTTTGTGTCTATTTATTTAGAAGAGGGGACGCAGTAACTTAGTGATGTTTTTCTTACATTTTCCTGGAATGGTAGAACAAAATCAAAAGGTGAAAATGATCAAAACAGTTCTGCTGGCACCAATGTCAGCGGAAGAAATACAAAATCTCATACTTCCAAACATGACCAAATGAACAATGTCAAAATTTAACAAAGAAAAAAAAAATAAACCTTTCAGTTTAGTCTAGGATATTTATTACTGGGATTTCAGCTGAAGACGCTTGAAGACTTTTTCATGGAATTGTTTAATTATTTGTACTTTACATGCCAGAAAAAAATAAAATAAAAGTTACAAATATTGAGTGACCCAATTTTTATTGACTGTGGAAACGATATCATTGAATGTTTTGACCAAACATTTCTGTCACCATGTTGTTTCCTTATGCTCTCCGGTTAGTTATACGATAGGATTTTTTACAAGGATCCATATATTTCATATCCATTAAAGTAATGCTTTAATGGTTTGAGAGTATGAAAGGAACATAATATATATCACTGCTTTAGTTAAAAGGTATATGTAAATCTTCCACATTAAAATGTTTAAAAACAACAAGACCTGTGTTATATATTTTGAGTTGTGTACTTACATTATCCCAAATCTTTAAAACCAGAGAAATGCATAAGTGTATTGAGAGTAACTGTCTCTTTCATTTGGTTGTCTGTCAACAGCATCATATCCCCTTTGAGCTTCAGCCACAAGCTGTCATAAATTGACTTTTTAAATCCAGTTTTAAGTCACATTTTTAGATCTATTTAACAATATATGTTAACCGGATGAAGGATTTTAGACTTTGGAGGTCTGGATCAAACAAGCGGGGCAAATGTTGGCGGCAGCTCTGCAGGACACCCCGTGTCCACCAGACACCTCGAAGAAACACCGTCTCTAACATGAAACTGATTCAGTGTTTTCACCGGTTTTAAATCAACTGGGCTGTTTGCTGTGGAAGATTCGTCTCGCAGCAAAAACCTCCTGAACAATGAACCCTGAAGGAATCCTAACGGTTAACATCGGTGAAGACAACAACTCCCATGATCCCACACTACTTCATGACGTCACCACACTCCATCTTTTGTTATTGTTTTGACTGAGACTCCTAGCGGCAAAAAGATGACTATTTCTACACAGCTCTTCCTAATGTGCTATTGACAGCTATGTTTATATTATGTGTATATTTAATCAATACTACTACAGTTCATTCAAACTGCATGCACCTTATTTGGAAGCCAACAGAATTGATTGACACAAGTTTGGAATATGATAAAATTAACTTTATTGAAAAACAATGGAATGACGACATTTGACATAAATCAGAGAAACAACACAACAGGTAGGAGTGGAAGTCAGACGCGTAGACGATTCAACTCCTCCTTGGAATTTCCAGCGTTTCTTCTCAATTGTTTATCGATGCCACGGTTGTGACACTCACGGCAACTTCATGTTGCTGCGGTGACTGTGGTCCCTCAAGAGCAACCTGCAAGAGTGAGCGCACACACGCATTCATTTCAATGGCTGCTTTGCTTAAGTCAGGACTTCCTAGTTGTTGAAAAGGGAAGGGCAATTTAGTTGAAATGAATCCTTAGAGGTTTCTTTTCCAAAGGACTCAGCATTTACACCAGTGATGAGAATCTACTTCTTGTGGAGTCATCACTTATATTTGGGTTATTCCGTGTTTATTTAGGTCGACAATACATTAAACCCAAAATCTAATTCTGTTGTCCCAGACCCTCTCACCTACACACTTGAACAGACCTGAAGTCAGCCACACTAACATAATGAATGTCCTGTCTACAACATTACCATCAATCATAAAGACTCTTAAACAGGAGAAACTTAATACACACTGAATCAGTCTGAAAAGTTAAATAACTGACAGTAGCCTTTTATAGTTCCTGTTTTTTTTAAAGGGAAGCTTCAGCTGATATCTATTCACTCTGTACAGCATCAGGGCGGAGCCTAGCAGGAAAGCTCTCAGTATGATGTCACTATACATTGTTTATAGCGACATCACCCGATAAGCTAGCTCAGTATCTGAAACCACAGAAAACCCTGATACATGTTTCAAAAAGAAAGAATAAATCAGATACTCTGTTTACTCTGCTTTCCATATCACTAAATGTTGGACAGCTCAATGAAAAATGTCAAAGAGCCAAAAACTGCTGAAGTGTCACAAACCACCAAAGAAGATTTAAGATGTCTGCAGTAGATGATGGATGAAATACAGCACCAGTGAGGTAAGAGAATACATCGCATTATTGTCCCAATAATTCACAGCATCAATGATCCTCTATCAACAAAGTCAAAGGAAGGATTACCTTGCTCTGGCTGCCGTCTTGCTCTTCTTCTAAAAGGGAAGCTGTAACTGCTCAAGGGACTTTTCTTCACAAACACAATGCTGGAAGGCTAAACAGCTCTGACTGTCACTCATTTAGCTTCATTTAGAAATGGTGATCAGTTGTTCACTGTAGGTGCAGGATACTTTCTGCTCAGAAACATGAAGACCACACTGTATGTGCCGTGCAGTGCGGGATTGTCTCAACGAACACAGAAGAGTTAGCTACTCACAAATAAAATGGATCTAGAGCTCCGTGTGCCCGTGAAGCTCTGAATCCAGGTTTGGAGGTTCCTGGCAGACAGCGGGGCTGATGAACTCCATCAGGTACTCGCAGCGACTGGGTTCTGAGGTCGATACCAAAACCGTCTCCTTTCCACACGTTAATTTAATCTGAAAGACAAACAATATCTCGTTTTTCTGTGCTTTGTCCAATGAGAGATCAGGTGTAGACACAGATCAAGTGGAGACTCACCGTGGTGGATCTGTTCGGGCCTTGCCAGCACCCTGTTCCATGCTCATACTTCATCACAGCGTAGATGTTGTCCTCGGGACCTGCCCAGTGTCCCCATGATCTACACAAAGTAAAGGATGAAGTATGGGAGGAGCCAAGTGTGGATGAAAGAAAACAAAAGACAACAACAAACAAGATAGACCGTCTCTTACCCGAGGTTAGTTTCTGATCCACCAAACTTGGGTTTCTGTGATACTCTGTTGAATGGACAGAGCCTGTAGATATACCTGAAGACAAAAGATTAACTTAGTCACATAACAATAATAATCAATCAATATTTTTAGTGCGAGTGTGCACATACTCGCTAGTAGTCAACTCGTAACACTGGCTGTAGAGGTAGGCGAACTCAGCACTGGGTCCAAGGTCGAAGGAGATCTCCTTCTCGAGGCTCCTGCAGACACAAAGCAAATCCAGCATCTTCTTTAATCCACTGCAGCCGTTTAGAGTTAGACTGCAGTTGTGGGAACAAACATCCTTCATATTCTTAGTACTTACTTGATCTGATCATCAACTTCCCGGAGCGCTTTCTCAGCCTTGTCAAATGCATCGCGGGCTTTCTGAGCAGCTGGGTATCAAATGCACAGAATGTAAATATGTAACTTCAGCCCCAACTCACACAAACATGTGCTCACATAAGGTCTGAGCAAACTATGTCCTGCTGTTGATGCTTTTGATAAAAAGGCATAAAAGCAACACATCTGTTCAATAAATCACATCGTTCTTCTGATAAACAACTTGTTTTTCGCGACCAGAAGGAGCGATGAGTTTCAAGTTAGCATATTAAAAGTTTAACTAATAGGTATGCAGTCGCATATGTGCTTTTGTTTCCCCTTTAGCATTTTACAGCGTGAGTCACTCAAACCAAGGACTGACTGAGTCACTCACTTACCATCGATGAGGCTCTGCGTGTCTTGGTCATAGGGCGGCATGGTCCCCTCGTCGTCGTCAGCCTTCTTTTCTTGGGTCTGCGTCGTAGGAGGGCTCTGCGTATCAACCGACAACAGTGACTCACTGAAATAAGACTCGTGAGTCACCCAGCAGAAGTATGATGGAGAAACTCAGCGGGCTTACCTTATAGTCTTGGTCTTCTGTGTCATCATCTTCATCCTCTTCGTCCTCATCCTCTTCGTCTTCTTCTGGGATGTCCTCTTCAGGGTACTGCTCAGAGTCGTTGTCGGAGTCGGGCTCCCTGATCTCCTCCGGTGGGGTCTCCACAGGCGCTGGGGTGTCTGCGTTGGCCTGACGCCAAGAAAAGTGGCTCATTTAGAGGAGAGATGGTTGCTCGCGTGGAGCCAACTAGAATAATCATCATCAGGTTCTTACCTCGGATATGTATTTTTCTTTGATATTATTCCAAACGGACTCAAATGCTACAGGGTCCACGTTGTCCACTCCTCCCATCAGCCCCTAAAAACCAAAGACAATGTTCATGTTTGTATTGAAACAATTAAGTTTAAAGATAATTTAGGCTCCACCGAATAGTCTGAAGCTTCGTTCATAATGTTGACTCAAATTCAGAATCATCATTAGAATGCTGCCCAGCTTTTTTTCTTCCTGCCTATTCATTGAGTTAAAACTCGGTAGTTCTGCACAGTAGATACACACTACTACACTGATATTATTCAGGTTATGTTTTGTAGAATTAGATTCCAGACGTGGCTGCAGAGTAGGGATGCACGAGTCGGGCGGGTTTGGGTGAGCTTACTAGAAAATATTGCGTGTTTAGATGACATCGTAGCATTCTGAGTAAGTCATCAATAACTTACAGAAACATTGCATCAATAGCCCACCTTCTCTTCCCCTCTCTGTCTCCCAAACACACACACACACACACACACACACACACACACACGACGAGCGGCATTCAGTCCTCAGCTAGATTTATGTAACGAAACTGACGAGTTTTACTCATTAAAGAAAGTTGATTTAATAAATAAAATAATAATAAAAATGTATTCAAATTAAGGGTTTTGTTCGACGATGTTTTTTATGGCAGACATTCAAAGCTTAATTTGAAAACCTGACATTTGGCCCTACTAATAACATCTGTGTTTTTATAAGAACAAATCAAAAAGAAGAGATTCACCTGAGCTTCTGCTTCTGTGAATGAATCCTCTGAATTTGAGTCGAGCTCAGAGTGGGACAGAAGCTCAGCCACTGAGACACTGACACAAAACAATGAACGCATAAAAGGCATGAACATACAATCATTTTAAAGAGCAATAATCCATTCTCAAAAGGTTTTTCAGGAACAAGACAACTTAAAGTAAATAAGTTCCAAACGTGGCTGCAGAGTAGCCACGTCTAACAAATGCTGCATCTCTTCTTTGCACTATTTTATTCAACTTTGTTTTTTTAGTTGTGTCTGGTGAGCTCCCTCATTATGGGTGCTCATTATTCTGGACTACTCACAAGCCATCTGCATCATCATCCAGTTCAAGAAACACCTCCGCCATTTTAGCCTTGTCCTTCTCCATGTTAATAACAGCCTTTTGATCTGAAACAACAATTTCATTTTAGAGTCATCAGGGGTTGTGATCACACAAAAACACATACTTATATACAGTGTAACTACATGTTTTGACTTCAGCTGTTTTGAGTACTACTAGTGTTCGTCAGTGTAGCTCAAACATGGTTAATAAGACAGAGACATGCTTTCACATCCTAGTTTACCTTCCCAGGCCTTCAGATGGCGCTCTTTGGCTTCTTTCTCTGGCTGCTCTGCCGTCTCCTTCACAGTTCTCAGAGCCTCAACCATGCTGTCTAAATCTTTCTTGCTAACCTCAATATCTGCATGTTTGGCCTGTTGAAACAAATCAAAAATAACGCCGTTAACCAATTTAAGATCCACACAATACATTAAAACTCCATTAAATTTATGAAACAAGAGACACCTTCTAACATCTCTACTGAAGGGTCGGTATCTTGGAATAAAAACATATTCTAAAGCTCTTGATGTTGATTATTACACAACCAAACAAAGGTTTTCTTGTCTCTCACACCTTCTTATCCTCAAGGCCCCTCTTGGCCTCCTGAATAAGTTGTTGTTTAAGCAGAAAGCCCTCCTTGGTAATCTCTGCCATCTTCTGCAGGCTCTCCCTCTCTTTGCGCCCCATCTCCCTGCAAATCACACGTGATTAAAAAAAAAATACATCCAATATTTTCTGGAAACTATACGTGTATGTTAACACACGTATAGGCTCAATGGGGAAATCTGGGTTCGACTGTGAAGCGTGCATAAATTATTAGATTTATAACACAAGAAACATTCCCACCTGCAGGTGTTCTGACAGGCAGCACCACTGTTGTACTCATCTGTGGTGTCACAGCAGTCTGAACAGGAAACACAGACGTTAAAAGAAATCCTGCACACACAACACACCCGAAAAGAAATGGCGATCACAGTTTAAAACTCATACCACAGATTCCATCATTGATGCGGGAGGAAGGGATGAAGCCAGGTCTGAAACCTGCATTGGTGCAGTGGAAGCTGCCGTTGGGACAAGCAGCCGTGCCTGCAAATAAATGTGCTTTTAGATATTGTCATAACCGGGCAAAGCAAGAACTAAACAGACTAAGCAGGCCTCTGTTTTTAATTCAGCAAACTGTGAAAACAATAGTACAGGAGACTCCAATATGCAGGTTATACCCACCTGGCTCATCAGAGCCGTCCTGGCAGTCGCAGTAGTCATCATTCACTCTGTCAAAGGGAATAGTGCGGGAGCCATCCAGGCAAGTAAAAGGTTTGCCCTCTTCATAGAACTGCCGTTCTTCAGAGGTGGAACAGAAGAAACGAGTCAGTGCCACGACAGCTCCAAAACTACAGAAAAGTCACTGTGAACTTTCACCCCTGCGTAAACACAGCTGTACCTGTTAACCGGTCTTATTAGTTATTAGTATTATTAGTACTTACTTGACAAAGGGACACCGCGAGGGCGTTGGATCTCCACCGCCGAGACTCCCACACCCAGCAGCAGCAGCAGCAGGAGGAGGTACTGACAGGACGTCATGATGGTGGGTCAGTATTTAGAGAGAATCTGCCGCACCGGAAACGTCTCCATGAGACACAATATGCAGGTTAATGAAAGTATTCTGTCACAACTATTTGTATAATAGACGATAACGTTATAAAACACAAAAGCGTCTAAACCACGTTAGGTATCTATGCTTGTTTTTACTTATCTCGACAGAACACGACTTCTTGTTAGTTAGCCGACAGCTAACAAATGAATGCTAACTAGCGAATTTAGCTGAAAGCAACCTTTTAAATAAATTTAAAAAAAATACCAATATTACATGTTTCGTTACAATAGCAGCATAGTAGACCTAGCGTGAAGAATAATAAAGTGAGTAAAGCCACAAAAAAATATTAAAGATAAATTCTTAGAAACAAGCTAATGGCTAATCATTACCGGTCAACACACCGCCTAGTTCCGTACTGTTAACGCGCATGCGTATATCCCCAAGCCATTCTGTCTTGTTTCACTCTGATTGGACGACGCTTTGATTAGCCCTTGTGATTGGTGGAGAGTCATGACACCCGTCTGAAGTAGAGGATTCTGGGGAGGATGCAGCCATCTCATGCCAGAGACAGGTCAGGTGCAGGTAGTCGTCACTCTTCACAGCGTAACAATTACCACGTGAATAACGTCCATATATGTTATTGTAAAACGATCATTTAAATGTATTACCAACCAAGGGACGTTGCAGCACCAGCCCCAGGATTAATAACAATACAATACAAATAAGTAAAGTGCTGACACTTAATAAACCAGTAAAGAGTGGATTAGCATACAAGGACAATGTAATTAACAGCAAACACGACAATGGTATTGCATTTAATATAAAAATCTTACTTTATTTGTATTTTTAACACACTTTACAGTACCGAACAGTGAAATAAAAGAAAAATATACTGATATACTATAGTATTGTTTTATATATAGATGTTTGCTTATTAAATGCATTTATTCACAAAATGACACCTCAGCTCTGTTGAGAGGAAAAACTTTCATAAAAATAATATAATAAAAAATAACTTGGACACATTTTACACATTACAGCAAGATCATTTACAAATATTACAATCATTTCATGTTGTTTTTTCCCCTTGAATAATCTTTCTTACTTGTGAACAAACGCATGAATTAAAGCCCAGAGAATTATTCACAGAGGGAGTCAGTCTGCGAGAAAGTGACCCGACAGCAACCCAAATGGGAACCAGCTCGTTAGGCCACCACTGGACGGACATGTAGGTTATCAGGCTAATGATTAAAGTTACTAATAAATAGATGTGTTGATAGTACTAGAAATGGCCAAGTTAGATAAGGACACATTTATTTCCTTTGAACATGTCACATCCCATGTGACTACATCAGCTTATGTTTGACTTTATTAGTCAAATGAGTTCAATCTCACGTGGACCTTTAATAGAGAATGACTAGTTTGTTTGATTATGTCTCTAGAAAAGGGGTTAACATTGACTACTGCACAATGACGGTTTGTGATTTGGCCCAATGGGATATAATCAACAGGTGACTGCCAATGACCAAACCACCAGCACAGACTGTACACTACCTGAACACTGTCTGCCTCAAAACCTGACGAAATAAAGTGCTGGTACAAATATATTTGATTTTAACAATAAATGTGGACGATTAAAAAATGTTAGCACAAGTGAGCGAGAACATAACCAGAGAATGAAAAGGTGAGGATGTGGCCTGCAGTGTTTTAGTGATTCACTTAACAACCTTAACTGGTTGTTTGTCAATCATCATGACTTGGATAAATTTATCATTTACAATCCAATATTACATTATGTACAAGAGTGGTAATGCTTATAGCTATATATCATCAACACGTGATTCATTTTCCAGACCATCCACCAGAATGATATAAAAATAAACTGTACACAAACTGTTCAAAGAAAACACTTCCCATGGTTTTCTTTTCATCATTTAAAAAGAATGGCAGCAATCAATCAATTGAATAATTGTTTTAATAAGAAACAATTGCTACAGTATCGTGTTTGTATGGCAAGTAAATATTAATGTTTTTATAGCTTATGACATAGCAAGAAGCCACAAAAACAAAGCAACATCTTGAAAGTAAAAGGCCGATGCATATGGGAATCTTGTATTTAAGTAACTGCAATAGTAATCCTGGATTCCCATTCCACAAGATGAAAGCCTGTGTGGTGGCCCGGCAGCTCTGCTCCATCCTGTGACGGAGCAGATCAAACACACAGGCTTCTGTTGCACCGAGCTGTGGTCATTTCAGATAAGCTCAGTTACTGACCTGCAGAAACTAACCCTCCAAAAGAACCACATTCATGTTCTTTTGTTTACCCTGTGAAAAACAAACACCGAAAACAAACTGTGACCTATTTAAGCTGTGCTGATCGAATCCTGAACACCATTCAACAACAACGTGGTGATGCCAGTGAGGGACCAATGACACACATGACAACATCTTTAGCATCCTGCCCTCTCCTTCTGTTACTCACTCGCTTACTCATGACCACTTAGTAAGTCACGCAAACAGACACACGCACACGCATCAACTCCATCATGTCAACCAATCAATATCTGGTCAGATTCAAACATCCTTATTCATTCTCACCGCCTCTCATTTCTTATTTCCTCTGCATGCCTCCACGTTGCTAAATATTTTGACCATCCTGATTAAAAAACAACACATTCTTTACGTTGGTCCGAGCACAGCAACAACACGACAACTAACTGGCAGCAATGTTCCCCTTTCCCCTCCAAATGCAATGCTGGATACATTGTAGACACACTGATACTCACAGAAATAAGCATACAGACGTGATATAAATATACTAGGATATCTATTATATATCTTATAAATCTACATACTTGCAGGTATGTATCCTGCATCTGACATTAAGGCAAAAAAGCATCAAACATGACGAGGATGATTAGGGACGACCGGACCACTGCTTTCTTTCTCCAAACATTCTGCCTCCCTGATTTTCCTGTTCGTCACCCACTGAAGTTTCTCATCCTTTACTTTGGTGAGAATCATTGTGTATGAGGAGACATAACCACGCAAGTGCATGTGGGTATGAGATGGCAAGTGGAAATTTGTTCTGCTGATGAAGTAATTTTGTATCCCTTTAACATATTTAGCAACCGTTAAATAGAAAATAGGCAAAACTTATGCTTCAAAGCATCACATGGCTTATTCTCAGAAAGTAAAAAAAGTATTCTAATAGATAGAAAATGAAAACATAAGCTGGAAAGAGTCCACTTGTGGTTTGTGGTGGTGGTAGTGATTGCTCTGCATCTAGAGTTCTGAGTTATTATATTACCAGAAGAGCAACAAAGGAAGACTTTTAGCTTAAAACATATGACCACAGAAACTGGACATGTGAGATACACACCACAACACCATGAACAGTAAAGAGATCTTTAACAAGAGACAAACAAAAAATATTATAACAAAATCACACACTCCTGTCCCACAATGCATTGCTTCACGACAGCTCCGTTCAGGAAGCTGGTGTTTCAGAAAGGCACAGAGCCATCTTGCACCAGTAGCACTCTCCTCGTAAAGGGAAAAGGGATACGGGACCTGGCGGCCCCCCCTCGTCACAGCATCTTCTTTTCCTTCCGTATCTTCTTTTCCTTCCGTATCTTCTTCTCTCCTCCTCCAACTCTGTGGATTTTTTTTATTTTTCTTTCCGACAGAAATGGAAAAAAAAAAAGTCAGTGTAGCTTTTCTGAGGAGAACAGTTTCTGTTCTAACGAACATGAATTACTAATACTGACTGAACACTACTTAATACTCCATTAAGAGATGGCTTTTTCCAAAGAGATTCATTACTGATCAATGTCCCTCATGTAAATGCACACATGCAAACATACAGTCGAGTGTGTGTGTGTGTGTGCGTGAGTGTGTTTGCAAGAAAGGAGGAGGTACATTTGCACTCCAATTGTACTGCATGACATACGCACGTTGAATTGATGTATTCATGACTTGCTCCTACGACGTGTTCGAGTTTGTTAGTCTGTGTGTTTGTGTGTGTGCATTCCAGTCCCAGAGTGCTACGCTGTCTTCAGTTGCCCGTCGCTAATGCTCTCTCCTAAATTCCTCTTTGTCTAAAGTTTGTTGTGAAGTCAGTCGGAGGACTTGTCACCACTACAAATCTACAGTTGCTGTGTAATCACCTTCTCTTTAAGCGATTTTAATTGATTCCCTTTTTGAAAAATATATTTAAAGGTCTGTATTGTCATTGCAGTCTTATTTGTTCTTGGTTTGGCCATTGAAAGGATGAACAAGATCATGTGTGCAAGTGAGGAGGGAGACACAGGAGCAGAACTCATGTATCTTCAGCTTGTGAAGAAGAATCTTCCTCTTCCTCTAAAGGACTTGTGTCAGAAAGTCTCTCCTTTTCAGATCTCACCTCCAACTGAGCTTTCAGTTCCTCCTCCACCTCCTCTTCCTCCATAGCAACCTCATCTTCCTCTTCTATTAAGTCCTCATTTTCCTCCTCTGCCATTATGTCTTCTTCTTTTTTACCCTCCTCCTCCTCATCCTCCTCCTCCCCCTGACTGCAGTCCTGTGCCACGTGGTTTGGCGTAGACTTGTCCCCCTCGTCTTCCTCTTCTCGCTGAGAGCTGTCTTCGAGGGTGAGCTCAAACTGAAACTTGTCAATGCAGGCGTTTAGATCCTTATCCTGGCACACGGGAGGAGGCGAAGGGCTTTGTGGTATAGTGCTCTGGTACCAGTCCCTGTTGTCCTCCAGAGTGTCCAAGATGTCCTGGGCATCAGGGTGCACGAGGTCCCCCCATGTCTCCCACAGCGGGTGGACAATGTAGTCAATAAAGCCCACCTGCATCCAGAAGAAAAAGAGTGTGAGGGTTATCATATAAATCTCAGTGGTGTCATTTCACTCCCTACAAATCAGCATTAAAGATGACGACAGATCATCCCACTTCATCCAGTTGTGCACAGGATTTCTTTTACCTGGCTCTTTTCCACAGACGCGGTGTGTTTGTCGCACATGGGACTGATCTCCATCCCTCGCTCTCTCTCCTTATCCCCCTGCCTGAAGAACTCCTCCATGATTCTCTCCGTCCATTGTCGATACACAGCCAGGGGTTTCGTAGGATTGCTCAGGTCAGCGCAGTGCACCATGTTCCTCAACACCTGCACAAACAGGCACAGGTTTCTATATCATGTACATGCATCGTTATAAGCACTGGATTCAGATATGCATAATGATCGTCTGACAACAAATCAGCTGAGAGGAGGTGGTGCACTACCAGCTTTGTGATTTTTACTTTCCTCTCTCTTCTTTTCTCTTCTATTAACTGTGAGTGATACACATTATGTCATACACATAGACATTTCCACCCTTGCATGCCCTTTTCCTTTTCTGCTGATGCTTTGGCTTGACGTTTATCATATTCAAAAAGCTCCTCCACCACTCATTGCTGTATTGAGTCTGGCTTCTTTCGTTCTTTCCTCTCATTACCAGAAGGTGCAGAAGCCTTTGTGTTTTAGCACAGCAACCACCTGCACCGTTAACCCCGTCCCCTTCACTCCCTTAAATGTCGATCATCAATAATTTTGTGACATTTGACTTCAAGTCACCTAGTTTCTCCAATGCTCATGAACCCTTCAGCCATCTAATATCAACAACTGGAGAATAGTGTCGTTGTAGAAGATACTTCTTTATCGCCACAGACATACACGACATCTGAGCCCTGCGTTTGACCCATCCTCAGCATTTTAGGAGCAGTGAGCTGCTGTGAAGCGCCTGGGGAGCAACTTGGGGTTCAGATTCTATCTCAAAGACACTTCGACATGCGGACTGGAGGAGTCGCGGATCAAACCATCAGCATTGGTGAGCCGGAGCCTCTGCTTTCCTTAATCCTCTTCCAAAACTATTGAATCAAAGCATTCCCATAGAAACACTTGTTGGACCTCAACTAGTCAGGATTCAAACTGACACACTGAACCAACACTCCTCCCTATTTCTGGGTCTCCTGACTTCAGTTTAGACAACAACAACAACAACAACCTCTTCCTCCCCACTCTTACAGACTCTGTGCATGTTTCTCTTCTCTCCTTTCCCGTGGTCCTCTTAAAGAAAGCTCACATTCACATTTTGACACAATTAAGGTGAAATCAGGTCAAATATTTCTGCATGCCTGGCTGACGTCAAACTCAATTTAGATAACATCGAACAGCTCTGTACTCTCTGCCCCACACAAGATCTTTCTGTCTCCTAAAGTAACTCCGACGTCTTCCATCAAATACTTAAACATAATCCTTCATAACCAGATCCTACAGATGTTAAATCTTGTGGTTCTACCTCTTATAACCCCCCCTTAGGAAGAAGAGACTACTTAACCTTTCATCAGCCCGCTCCATCTCGTCTTAACTACCAACAAAACTTACCAGCATTTGAACCTTACCAGCATCTGTTAAAGGAAACCAGAGGTAGCGTCTCACCTGTATCCGATCATTGTAATGGTCAAGCAGCAGTACTCCAGAACTTGTCACTTTCTTGGTTTCCACCATAGTCTTGAGGTCTGCCAGCAAACTCATGTGTTTAGACATATCTGTTGCCAAAACCTGGAAAGAAAAAATGATACATTAGAGAGAGGAAAATAGAGAGATGGAGAGGTGGTAGCATGGTGCAGTGGGCTGACGACACTCACCATATCAATAACAAGTTTCCTCAGGCTCTGCCTCTGCCTCTTGCTCAGGTTCTGGAAGATGTCACAGTTGTCCTCGTGGAGCAGCTTGAAGCCCACAGCGAGGTGATGGTTCTCCAACACGGACTCGTCGTTGTACATCAGGGCCAGCTCTGAGTCTGAGGGAAGCCCCATACAACACCCACCATCAGTGTGAGAACCCATTTCAAAATGTAGAAAACTACTTCGTCAATTTAAAGAAGTAGCACAGTGCAAATAAAACTTTAGTGACAAATATCCCCATTTACAACAACCGAAAGCACACAATTTACAGACTAAATGTACTAAAAACATACAATAACAAGCTAAAGGGGTATCAGACAGAGGATGACTGTGGTACCAAAGGCAAAAATATAGGATCATTTCAACTAAAGTGAGTGCATCATACACATTAGCTCTAAAGAAAAATAATTATACTTCAAATAACCACATCGACCAAATTCAGTGTCCGTAATTGTCAATACTTCAAATTCTTTCTCTTCAAATATACAAATCACAACACTTATCTCACGTCCTGAAATGTAGTGTCCAGTGCTTTGTAGTGTAATGATTAGTTATAATTTAGTTCATTTAGAGGAACAATACATTTTATCATGTGACAACGAAAACATTAAACTGTCAAAATGTGCATAAAACTTACATGATAGATATTTAAAATAAGGGTTTAAAAACAATTAGTCAACCATTAGTTCTGTTGTTGTGGGTTTTTGTTTTACTTTTATTAGTATTTAGAATTTCTTTTTACAATATTTTGTTGTAATTATTATATTATTTATGTATTCTTTATTATAACTCCTATTGCATATTCTGAATCTCAATAGAACAACATTTAAGACAAACCTTTCCTGCGTAGAAAGAACTAAAATGCCAGGTATAATCAGACTAGCTGACCTAGAAAAGTGATCTTCGCTTCATGTTCTTTCTAAAATCAGTGAATTTCACAGAGTTGGCAGAAGTCGAGACCGGTCTTTGTTACACTGGTTCTTTTATAGCTTTCCAGCCTCTGTTGAGACTTCCTAGTCCTGGTCCCATACAACACAAATCAGTTGTATTCATTCCTGAACCATTGGGATTTATCCCTGAAAGCAGGTTTTAGTTTCTCCTGGCCATCGAGATGTCCTTTGTTTTTCCTATGCACTTCTTCTTCTTTTTTTTTATTCACATGTCTCTTTCATGTCGTCTCTTTAATCTGATTTCGACTCACTTGTGTTTATGAGGAATTGGTTGGACACCCCTGGATGGTCCACATCGTGGATGGCAGCGGCAAATAACGCAGCTAGTATCTCTAGATCAGTGAACACAGCCTGTCAGAGAGAAAAGTAATCCGTTAAACTGCCGTTTACAATTTACTTTTGACTACTGTACTATTTGTAGAGGGCCTGGTATGTATGAAAGCCTGAGCATGTGAAGTTCGATGTGTATTGGCTGAGCAGTAGAGGTATTTACATCTAGCGCCGGAGTGGATAGCAGTACGTGAGTAGACTGAGTGACATCTGCAGCGTGGAGGCTGTTGTGGTAGGCCACATTGGCATGGTAGTGGTCCTCCAGGGTCATCACATAGGTGACAAACGTATCCACGGGGATCATAAAGGTCTTCAGTAGATCTCTCTCCTGCAGCCACAGGGGTAATGGTCACAGTGAAGTCGTGCTACATGACATAGTGAATAGTCCATTGTTCGTTAAAGCTCTCACCTGGAAGATGGCATACATTGTGCAGCTAAGGGGACGGTTGTTAGAGTACTCTGCCACACGAAAGATATTAAGGCCCCACATGTTCAAGTCATTCAGCTCCTGAAGGCACAACAGACAAGATTAACACACATCAGCACTAAATGTAAATCCACTCTTAAAGGTGCATGATACTGCAGCTGTGTGTTCTTTGCATTAGACTACAATACGTTTTCATGAAGCTCGAACACTTGTGTTGTTTTGTGGTTTTTGGAGTTGGAAAAATTGGTTTCCTCGAATACAAAACTTTTTTTTTCCACACTGAGAAATAAGAAAGCTCTTGCTCTAACTCTGATGGACCAATGCCAAATAGAGGTTGACAGGTGAAGTTTTAAAGTCGTGGAAACGCTTTCTGCTTTTAAACTCACATGACTCGCATGTGATATCACAACAGTAGCTGCGTTTCAAATCGCAATTTCTTTTTACTTTTAGTACACTGCAGCTGCCCTTACAAAGTGCGTAATGTTGCATGCAGTATGTATTCATTTGGGACTACTTCCTCATAACATAGCACCTTGAACTTTGACCCTCCCGCTCATGTATCTGCTGCGCAAAGGATTGTGGGTCAGAATCACCAGAAAAGCATGCTGGCTTGTATGCTGCAAAATGCAACCGGATTTAGTAGAGCATCCTGGTATTTTTGGCATACTGCGTTTGAATTATTATGTATTGGGACATTATAAATCTTTTTTCTGGCATAATAAATGGTATGGTAGTATGGGTATTAAAACGTCTTTTGGTGCCTTTCAGTTCAGTTCAGATCTTTATTGTCCCACAAGAGGATTTTCTGTTGCATCAAGGCAGCATAAAAACACAAGTCATGAACACAGTAAGATATTTACCCTGGCTAACACTTCCTCATGTTCAGTCTTCACACCGAATCGAGGCGTGGTGGAGTTTGAAAGGCTGGAACTGTGCGTGAGCTTCTTCACACCGCTGATTTGACACATGGGCTTCTCCCTCTCCCTCAAAGTCGGGGACGGGATCTCCACTTCGTTCTGCTTATCTGGGGGGGGGGGGGGAGTCAGAGGTGAGCCAGGATGGAGACTTGACCTGGGATCAGCGCGAGAAGGGACACGCTATAGAGGTTGACAGGTGTGTTTTACCTAGAAAGGTAGTGGAGATGTATTCTGACACCTGGTTCCCTGAGCGACTCATCTCTGACAAATGGGACAGCTCCCTGTTCAACATCCTCTTGAACTGAGGGAAGCAGAGACAGACACAGGAAGTGAGTGACTTGACTTACAAAGTAGCAGACATATCCAACATTGTAGAGACGTGCAGATGGGTAAACCCTCAGAGTTATTAACATTGTACTTGTTCTGAAACAACAAAACATTCCTATGAGTCAAACATGAGAAAAGAAATGATCGCCCTTATTCTGGCTTCATTCACTAAAGGGTGAGAAAAACCAATGATGAATCATGCCTCCTCTTTTTGAGAACATACTGTTCAGCACCCCCAATTCAGTGTGCTTGTATTTTGATTGCCATGTATTTGTATTGTGCGGTAATGTGGCATGTTTATTCTTCTCCCAACATCGACAGTGGCAATCATGAACGACTAGTCTGCAGGTCTGTGCAGTGCGGGCTGTGATTACGTGAATACATTATCCCTGCAGACATTAAACACCGAATGTTCTCTCATTATTTTATCTATTTTTATTTGGAGGCTCGATAGTCACCTGTTGCACAAGTCATGTCAAGGCACAATAGGGTTCGGACATAACCCCTTCGGTCTGTGTCCCGCCGACTGATCTTTCACACATAACAATCTCCATGGCAACCAGAGCGGTTGCCGTGGCAACTGCCTCCTTCACAGTCAGTCCTTCAGCTGGATGTGAGAGCGGTGGCTGCTTGGGTGACGATCTGAGGGAGTAGGCAGGTGTCTCTGACCTTTACCAAGGTCAACCCTCCCCTCCACCGCTCCACTGCTGCTGCCCCCCCCCCCCTCCCTCCCTCCCTCCCTCTCGAGGTAAACAACAGTCTCCTCTGTCACAGGCTCCACTCTGGCTTCCTATGCCATTTCACACACTCCATGCATTCCATCCATCTTTCACTCTTTTCCTCCCAGTTCTCTCTCTTTTTCCACCCATCCCATCCGGCCCGCCGCTCGTCACATGATACGCCGAGCAGATAGATACTCTGACAGCAAATCGTAGAAGCAGTCAGGCAGAATCAGTCACCAGGAGCCAGGAAAGCAAGTCAAGCCCCGTGGCACACTTAGGCAGCAGGCGCAGCCCAAACCTCCTCCTCCTCTCTCTCGCTCTCGTTCTTTCCTTCCCTAATGCTGTAACGCTGAGTCATAGCTGACAACCAACACTTCCACGGTGCCAGTCCGAGTGCCAGGACAAACAACACTCTTCCTCATGACACTGACTAATGGAGCAAACATGCGGACGCTGCACAGACATGACCACAAACACACACTCACACACACTCATACACCTGCATATGTGAGGGACCCAGGGGGGCTTTTTATTTTTCTAACTGCCTATGAGCTTGAATAACTGTAACCGAATAACACACATGCTAAACATGACCCTCCTCTGAACTACAACCTGTACGACTGATTAAACATATCAGCAGAGAGCAAACTCATTCATCCTAATGTGCCCAATGTCATTCAGGAAAACAGGAAAGACAAAAGCCAGAGTTTGTTTTGGTAACACGGTGCCAAGATATCGCATCGAATGCAAAACTGACATGTCAAAGAAAACTGACACAACGTCTGACTTCATACATTGTTATGGATGTAACATGTCGGTACACCTGAGGACAAAAGAAACTCAGTCCTGAGACAATAGGCATTGTCCTTCACTGACAATCCGCTTGGCTTCCTTCAGTCTGTATTAGCCTCAGGCTAGCAGGAGAGAGACACAGAGGGATGTGGGACGCAGGTGTGGAGGATGGAAATGGACATTATGTGACACTGCAATGTACCTGCAGGAAAGACGGCTGGACTACTTATCATAAAGTCCAAAAGCTATTTCCTAGATTTTAAGCAGCTAGGTGTATTCTCAAAGGACAGAAATGTAGACCAGATATAGAAAGATGAAGAATAAGAGTGATATTGTCTTTTTGTTTACATTGCTGCTGCAAGGTGGTGATACTGAACAGAGTTAATAAACTCTGTGCTCCTCTCCCTGTTCCCCTTCAGTGGATTTGTGTATAAATTATGTACATGAACACACTGCCTTACAGCTCCTCGCAAAGCCACCGTCAGACCCACAAAACCTTCCTCCACCACATCAATTCAGAATATAATCAACACGTCAATCCTGCCTTATAAGCACATACATTTCCCAAACTGACACCATTATTGCTGGATTTAAATAAAGACGCATAAGAAGATGGAGTAAACAAACAGCTGAGTGTTAATGCATGCTTAGATGTAACACTTGAAGAATCCACATCCAAGATGGCCACTGACAGGCCTTGTTTGCCCTCTGCAAGCTCTCCGAGCCCTACCTGGTCCCACCAGCCGATGAGCCAGGGCCTGGAGCAGGTCTCACAGAACAGGTCGACTAAGGGTGTCCTGCGCTCCGCCGCTGTCCCGCTTCCCTCCAGAACCCCTCCAGCAGCCGCACCGAGGTCCAGCTCTGCCCCTGCCCTCCCCTGCAGGGGGCTGTAGCTGGAGGAGCGGGGCAGCCTGTAGCCCCCTGGTACAGGCGAGGGGCAGGAGGATGGTGCTGGGTCAATGGCCTCCACCACACCCATGTTGAGGGTGACGGGGGGTTTGGGCCGGTGGCACAGGCAGGAGGTGCGGTAGTGGAGCGGAGTGGGGGCGCTGCGGGTGCCCCAGTGGCATGAGGGCGTCGTCAGGTTGTGTGAGGAGAGGCCACAGCCAGTCAAGCCGGGACACTCCAGAGTGACGGCTGCCCCGAGAGGGGGTGAAGGAACAGGGGAAAGGGGGTGAAGGTGGGGGCTGCTGGTGCAGACTGTCCTCGCCTACATGCAGCACCCCAAAGCAGGCCACCCAGTCAGTCTCCAGAGTCAGGCTCCAGCCTTAGTGTGGTCCGAAGATGAGGGTCCCCCTGATGGGCAGACCAGGAGCCCCCTGGATCTGGCTGCTGTGGAGACTACATCTCATCCCATTTGCTGAGCAGACTGACCCAAATCTACAGTCACTGCAGGGTAGAGGTGGATGGGAGCCGAAAGAGGGAAGATGGAGGGAAAAGGAAAAGGAGAGGGTAGCAGGGGACCGTCTGAAGGGCACAGAAAGGAGCCAATGGAGGAGATGAGTGGGAATGTGGGAGAGATGTGAACGAAAAAATGATGTTGCAAGAGTTGAGCTGCTTGGCAAACAGTACTAAAATTTTTAGATGATGGAGGTTAGAGGGATGGAGTGATGGTGACGCCAGGACAGAAAGATGACCATAGTTTCGAGTGATGGATGTAGAGGGAGCTTGGATGACAGCGGGAACATCGGAGGAGGAAGGAGCAGATGATAATAGCAAGAGAAAAACAAGGATGGGGAGGATGAGAGAGGGAGAGAGAGAAAGAGACAGAGAGGGATGCAGGCAGGCCTGTGGCAGACGGTCAGGCTGAAGAATCACACCAGAGCTCTGGTCTGGAAAAACAGGCTCCCTCTCCCTGCGTCGGCTGCCCCTCCCCCACGGTACGGATCCAGAGGCCCGGCCCAGTCCTACCGGTGCATCAGCCGTCTCACACCGATCCCAGCAACACACAGTCAGTCCACAGTCAGTCAGGCTGCCTCCTGATCGCTCCGTAGCCCAGTCCCCTGCTCCGAGTCAATCCATGCCTCAGCTGGCCAGAATGCCAGAGGTCTAATCCTGCCGCTTTAGGCTGCCGTTCCTCCTCCAATGCTCTGCCTCTTGCGCCATTTCCCTGGATGCTGTAGACAGCTCTCGCAAGCTAATCAGGCAGTGTGGCTGCAGGCGCATGCATGTGTGTGTGCGTGTCTGCGCTTGCTTCTGCTCTCAGCCTCAGAGTGCGCATGTGCGATAAGACAGCATGTACGTCTGTCGAAAATATGTGTGTGTGCAAGGGTGTGAGCAAGAGTGAGAGACTGAGTGGGAATATTCATGTGTACCTCCATGTTGGCACAGTGCAGAGGATTTATGTAGCTTAGCTGCGAAAAGGCAGCAACATATTCACAGAGACTCTGTTTACCAGGAGACTTCTCTCTGCACATTGTATGTGCACACACACACACACACACACACACACACACACACAAATGATGTCCTTTAAGCACACTCCTGTTACCTCTCCCTCAGTCCTTCATCACAAGCCTGACTGAATCAAAACACACAAAGAACCTTCATTCATTAATATTGATGTGCAACATGGGAAGAATTTCCAGAATAAAACAAACAAGGCACTGGATGCTGTCTCTTTAAGACAGAACACTGTTAAAGGAGCATCACCTCTATTTCATTGGTTGTTGCCCAAACCACATGGTTTGTGGTCAGAGTGGCAAGCCAATGACTAAAAGTGAAGGGCAGACCCTGCTGCTGTTCGATAGCAACCAAGGTTACAGCAGAGACATCAGCATCAGCACCCCCCCCCCCCCCCCCCCCCCCTCCCCACCCCCCCCCCCCCCCCCCTGCCCCCGGCCACTACTCTTGCTCTCGCGCCGCCCCCCGTCTCTCTGTCTCTCTCTCTCTCTCTCTTTCTCTCTGTCCCCATACCCCAACAAATACAAATGCACACACACTTAAGAAGCCTTCCCATGTTCACACACACACGGGCATGCAGATGTAGTAATGCTGCATCTCTTGCAGTTGTACACACTAATGCTTAAATCGGCATAATCGGTGCGTTTAGTCTAACAAATGCCATAAAAGCCCAGAGACGGTTGATCACATATGAGGCATTAATTATTCATCAAGACAACTAATACCACAGGCTTGCAAATAAACCCAGGAAACAAATGTTTTATAGAATTACTACTTCTAATGAACAAACCTCCGTAAAAGTTCTAAACAATAGTGTGTGAAGGTTGAATGTGGCAGGTGTTAGAGATGAAGGTTTTTACAACCAAATGCAGTGTTCTTAAAAGTATTTTTAACGAGAAAGTTTTACAAACTACTCATGCAGGTTGTTTTTTAATGTATTTTATAATTGACCTTGGTGGAGCTTCAACAGGAAGCTCTATCCAAAATGCATTTTGTACAGTGATACAGCTGCAACCCAATGATTCATCAACAAGCTCGGCGCCATACTGAGTTAACGTTGAGGCAGAAGGGCAGTGAAAGTTTGTGTGTGTGGACAGGTGTGCACCTTGTTGGAGGCCATATCGCTGACTGAGCGGTGGGTCTGAACGGTCTCCAGCTGGTCCAGACACCAGTCCAGCTCCTCCAGAGTCTCCCGAGCCATCTGCTGGTACGTCTCCTCTGTGAATGTCAGACACACAGTGGTGACCTGATAGAAGATCCTCCATTTAAAATGATCTTTTGTTCAGTAAGTTAGTTTAAGAGTTGAAAAATGTCCACTGTGGCCATAAATGATTAAATGCGTCTTTAAATAAATGTAATAAAACTACAATAAGACAACAACAATGTGACCACATCAGATATTATACTAATATAAAATGTATATTAGTATAATGTTTGTAAACAGTGTAAGACAGGTCAATGTTTTAAATTATGATCAGTTGAACAACACAAAAAAATATAGTTTAGGTTTAAAAATACAGCTATCACTTTAAACCTGATTGACAGGTCTAAATATACATATTCACATCAGACAACAATCAGATTTAACTTATTTGTGTTTTCTAATGCTGTAAAAATGATCCATATACAGTGGGCCTATATTTTGAATTATGATTAGCTTAGTGACACAAAATGTATAGTTTAAATTCAAAACATATGTTAGCTGTCAGATTAGATAAATAAATATAAAAGTGATTGACAGCTCCTTTTAATATCCCAAAAAATATTTCATTAAAGTAAAATAGTTTGTGGTTTTGCAATGCTGCAACATTTATACAACTGATTACATTTTGTCCTCCGAATACAAACAGTAGGTTACAGACGTTTCTCTCGGTCCTTTAAACATCTCATCTCTCTCTGCATCTTAACACACAAATCGTTGGTAACTTCAGCATCATATGTGCAGTCTCTTCAATGTATGCAGCACGGTTAATTAAATCCTCACTAATAGCCTCACGATGTTCTGTGCAGTCATTTTCATTACTGATGATGCATTCAGGGAGTGTGGGAGCCTTCAGCGTGTCCTCACAGCTCTTTGGACTAAGAGTTTTAATTAGCTGACAACATACCAGAGAGTGTAGCTTGGGGAACAGTGGGTTGGCTTGTCACTGGTGACCTCCTGTGGACAAACACATCATTACATCAGAAGGAGAACCACACGCTGCTGCCCCCTGCTGGGCTTCAACACACACAGCGTTACAGGAGGAGGCAACAACAGGCTCGGCTCACGCAGGGGGGTGTACATATGTATTCCTTTATATGCCCCTAAAAAGAGACAAATAGATTAAAATGCCAATGGATAAGATTGATTAAAATATGATATGATTAAAATATCTAATTATCCAAAAATAGTCAAAGACAAAGCTCTGCTCTCCTTTCATGCAGTCTTCATGGTCTCATAATTGAGCATTGAAGAAAGCATTTTCAGGGCACAACACTGAATAATTATAGATGCTGATAATTCTGTGGTACATTGCTGTATATATATATATATATATCTATGTATATGTATATATATATCATATTGACGAGGAGCTAAAAGCCTGTCAACTCAAGCTCTCACTATCTGCTGCTCTACAAAGGAGAATCATTTTAGTGTTATTGACCATCTCTGTCGTCTGTGTACAAACTCAGGGACATCTGAGGCGTGATGCTCTCTGCACTCTGTTCTCAGCCAGCGTTGTTGGAGAGATGCCAAATAATAATGCACATTGTACTTTTTCCTTGAGCACAGCCTGATAATCATAAACGGCTAAATTGTTTCCCTACGGGAGCACGGAGAAGGAGACATTAGCAGACACACGCTGCAAACTAAGCAGGCAGTCGTGAGGAGTGTATGGGGGGGGGGGGGGTTGAGAGAGAAGGGGTGTTTGACAGCACATGATACTGACTTGTTAGTGGGTGTTGTGACATTGGCGAGGATGGTGAAGTTGCTTCTTACAGTTCGTAGGCTGGCCAACACCTGGGGGATGGATGGACAGCGTAGGAGAGAGAGAAGGAGGGAGGGAGGGAACAGGAGGGGGAGGGGGTGGGAGAGACAAGTTCACTGCACTAATTAGCCACCTTTTCTAGTCATTTACAGCAATTAAACATGTCAGACGAGGTGCACCAGGAAAGCATACCTGAGCGAAAGGGGTGACGATCATGTCTTCGGCGTGCCTGCAGGGTGAAAAACAAAAAGCGCAGAGTGAGATGAATGTGAGCTTCTCGGGCAGCTCAGTATTGGTGTTTATATGAGAGGCTGCATCTGTGAGCCAGATGCTTACAAAGACCTATGTGGATCTAAACAGAGAAATAGTCCTGAAATACACTGATGGGGGGTTTCGGGTGCGTTGAACTTACTGCAAGACAAGCCAAGAAACAGAGAACAACAGTTGATGAAGATTCATCATGATTTAATTTGCATAATGATTGCATAATTACAATCATAACCACTCCTGTGTTGATTGGAATAATGTGCAGTAACTGTGGTGTGTGTGTGTGTGTGTGTGTGTGCGTGTGTGTGCGTGTGTGTGCGTGTGTGTGTGTGTGGACATTGCAGATTTAAGAGTTGCTGCCACGTGATGGGCCCAGTGATGGACAGTGGCTTCGTGCTTACCCCTCACTGTTGATGGAGGAGTTGCGTGACATGGTTTTGGGGGACGTGTCGTAGTCTGAGTCTGAGCGGTACAGGAAGGACTCCCTGCGCTGGCTCTGGGGGAAAGAAGGGTGGAGCACCAACCCAGGACTCGCCTGCGAATCCATGGGACTGCGTCCTGGAGAGGGACCATTCTCTGAATCGAAGCTGAAGGGTTAGAGAGGACAGGGAGGAAATGGTTTTTACATCTGTTGCATTTCATTTGGGTGTCTGTTTCGCTGCTGCTTCTCTTTTGCTGCGACAACAAGATAAGCATGATCACCCAAGTCTAGTCTCTTAGAGAGCAGGTTGGGGAAAACACCTGCAGTCAGGAAGCCTTTATCCTCCAGCAGCCCTCAACAAAACTCCTCAACCAAACCTGAGGTGAAAGAAGATTCTACGTTACTGCTGAGAAATGAAGTCAGTATTGATCGAATGCGGTTTTAGAGTTGATCTTTCAGTCTGATATCACAACTCATATCGTCACTGCCATATCAGTCAAGTTATCGTGTTTAGATATTTCTTGAAAATTGTTCAATCTTACTACACTTCTACACAGATATGAGATAAATAATAATATGAATCACTTTCAGGCTGCATTCAGATGTTGAGATGACAAGGACAGATGGGGAAGCAGGTTGCAGTGTAGCTGCAGCATCTATTTTTAATGTAGGATAACTTGTATCTCCACAACATCCCCCCCATTTCTCCAAAACTTCTCAAACTTCTGTTGTCAACTGAGTTGACAACAGAAGTTGGTTTTCAGTTTGACTTCCAAAATTAAAACGTGAAGCGTGATATTTTCAGAATTGACTTATAAATTGGCCAATTAGGAGCCACTCCTCTCCCCAGAAGGCGTTGTGAATATGACTACAGATCAAATTAGCATCAAACAAGTTTCTCCGGTAATAAAAAACACATCAGAAATGTCTGCCAGGGGGACCCTCTGCCAGAGCTGCACGCACTAATCCCCGTTTTATTTTTTTTTCTGCAAACTTTGAGAGTAATTATGAGACTTCTGATTTCAGCACTTTCCAAAATCTAATCCATCTGACTGTGGTTATCAGAGTGTGTGCTTGGAATAATTCATTTTCATAATGCTCACACCTCATCTCAACATGGAGGGATAACTGAACAGGCCTACCGGGCACAAGCCCAGGGGCCCAAAGTGTCAGCGGGCTCCCTGTCCTTCACCTGCAAAATGTCACTCTAAAAGACACGTAGCAACCAGGAAGAGACTCAAATAATGACCACAAAGAAAAAGAACATGACCACAAAGAGACACACAACAACTACAAAGAGACACACAACAACTATAAGGAGATGTAAATGACCACAAAGAGATGCAAAACAACTACAAAGAGACACACAACAACTACGAAGAGAAGCATAATGTCTACAAAAAGAGGGTAAACCACTGTGTGTCTTGCTCCTAACTAAGGGCGGTGGGAGGGCCATCTGCATGTCCGAGCCCAGGGGCCCGTTGTCTCACAATCCGCCCATGCACCCATGCATCTGAACTGATGCAGAACAGAGATATGTTACTGAGGACTGGGTGAAATCAAAGATCAGTGGCTTTCATGCAGAACTGTACCTGCAAAGAGATGTGATGTTACAGTGAGATGAGCGTCTGCGCTCCTGAATACTGCGGTTCAGTTTCAAACGGCGAAACAAAACAGAGCCCCCGTGTCCTCGAGACTGATCGACCGGTGACACAGGTGAGGTGAGAGAGGGCGCAGGAGGTGGACCCTCAGGACTCTCCCACAACCTCATCTGTCGTGTCAGCTTCCTCTGACTCATCGCTGCCTGCTCTGGCCTGGTGGAGCCGACCGGTTAAAGAAAACTCCCCCAGCCTCCACTAAAAACTGGCTGTCTCCCGCCCACGCAGTCCCCCTCGTCGGCTTTTTAGTGCGTCGACTCACGTATCAGGCAGACGAGAAGCGCAGCACCTGCCCTACGTGATGCAAACTGTCCTAAATTCCAGAGCGAGCTCTAATAGCGAGGCCTGATCCTCCCTTTAGTCGTGCTCCCCCGCGTGTCTCATGCTGGAGGAGTCAAAGTGCATAAACATGCATATCCTGCGCTGTGATCCTCAGGCCTTGGATGCTTAAACTCCAGTTCCCCCTTCTCACATCCTCGGTTTGTTCCCTGGATTTATGAAGGTCTCCTTAATCCTTCCCTGTGCAGGATTGTTTGTCTCTTCCTCAGCCTACCAGAAGGGAGCTCCTCTGATATTTCAAAAGCTCAGCTGTTTCCTGCTGCTGGGACCAGCCGGCCCAAACTGGACCTCTGTCCCCATCTGGTCTCCTTGTAGCAGTGGAGTGGCTGGCGTCACACGTTCACAACCCCCGAGACACCCGTGGCTGCAAAAACAACTGTGATGATCTCTGGTAATATCCCAATTAGGCAGGCCTTTGCCCTTCACGTTGTAACTGTTACTTTTTATCTCCTCCGCACCCCCGGCCTCCCTGGTGCAAGCATGTGCTCTCACTGTCCTTATCTCACTGCTCGCAGTTCCTCTGCAGCAACAGGAAAGGCTGATCAGTAAGAGTAACACACAACAGGCGCTGGAGTCGAGCAACACACACACAAAAGCTGTGTAACTTGAAGGGAAGAAAAAAAAGTCAGGGGGAAGCGGGTTGACTCACGCCCCTGTGTAAATGTTTACATGTTCCACTGAAGAGTGTGCAAGGTTTGCGCCCAAAACATTTCTTATTTTGACAACAGCCTTGCTCACCAACAGCACTCTCCTTGGCCTTTAGACGTGAGCAGACACAGCTCTGCCTTGATATTCTGCATGAGCAACAATGAGACCATGAAATAGCTTTCAAACAAGGTGCATTAGGTCAACCACTACTAATTCACTGATGACACGGGAGATGTTAGACAGCCTCAAGCAGGATTTCCTTTTTTTTACACTATGGCTTCTCTTGCCTGCGTTTCCTGAGGTGTTTAGGTGGTTTATTACTTTAATAATAGAAGGTATTAATTAACAGCAGTGTAACAACTGTATTAATACCAGAATTACCAGAATTGCATTTGGAAACATTGCTGTTGCAAGTGTGGCAATTTCCTTTAAAGAGAGAACTAAAGACGTGGTGAGCAAGTTAAACACGAGGATTTCTCAGTAACGATTGCACAACTTACCGTGTTGCCTTCCTGTGGCATTCTCTGATCGTCCACAGCTTCACAAAGTTATACTTGACTGAAAAATGTAACTGTTTAATTATATTTTTGAGTGTGAGACTTTGGACAAAAACAAACAATATGAGTATTATAGAGGTATAGTTGTCTGGTGTTTCTTTGTGATTTATGACAGTTAATAATAGCAGTCCAGTGCCTCAACGAAGGCTAGTTGTTGGGCTGATGGTGCAATTGTTTGGTGCAATTGTTTAAGAAATAAAGTAAAAATAACTAAGATATATTTTCAAGCTTTATGATGTTTAAGTAATTAAGAGACATGACTATTACATTTTTAATGTCTGCACTGCAGAAGTTAGGAAAACAGATCAAACTCTCCAGCATCACATGCTGTTGGTTGATTCTTGATGAAATCTAATTCTTACTTTCTGCTTGACTGAGTGGAAAACTCACCTCCAAACACGTTTTGTTTTTGGTTGCAGGGGTAACCTTTAGTCGTGTTTGGAATACAGATTGGACATTTAAAATTGTGTGTGCGTGTGAGAGAGAGACATGTGTGTGACAACCTGCACACTAATGAAACAAGCTATTTAAACTTTGCGTGTCACAATGAATGAATATACACTCTGCACATACAGAATGAGAGCACAAATGAAACAACTTGTGAATAGTATCCGTTTGTACCTCAGCCTTTTTCCTGCAAGAGCAGCTAACCCCAAAAAAAGCAAAACCTGCTGCATGCATTCTGAGTTCCACCTTTCTGCGAGCAGCTTACAGCACGAGCACACAGGAACACAGGAACACAGGAAAGGTAAGGCGCCTTGTCGAGCTGTTTCCTCCTCGCCTCCTGCCTTGCACACTCACCCTTTCTTCCGAGTCTCGCTTTCCCCCTCCCCTCTTTTCCTGGGAGAGAGTAACTATCGTTTGTTTATGACGCACAGGGGGATGGATGGTGGAACGCGTCTTAGAGAGTCGCTTATGAAAAGGTCTCACACACATACAGCCTGTTTGAACAGTGCCTTTCAACGACAGACTTTGGGAAAATGTCAAGAATTCTAATTCACATGACAGTTTCTATTGTAGTCTCCGGAGAGCTGATGAGCAGACAATTATTCTATCTACTATTAAATACACCAGTCCCAGCTCAATAATAGCTGGTGGAACCTCTCAACGTGACTCATGCGCACACATGTGGGCGCGCACACACACACACACACAACTGGCAACACCCCCCCCCCCCCCCCCCATGTTGCACTAATGTGTACACAGGGTGATTATAAGCCGAGCTGCGGGCCGCTCTCTTGGTTTCATCATGTGAAAGCAGAGTCCCCGGAGTGTTCCCCTGCGGACAATGACATGATGATCAGAGGTTTTTAGAGGAACGGAGATTTGTGCCAGCCGAGTGACTCCTTCGTATGGAAGATATCAAACAGTCAGGATGGAGAGGAAGCACATTAAAGCTGCTGTCTGTCGTGTAGCCCCGCTACCTGAGCTGCCTCACTGTTTCAGGTCACCGGGGCTCTGAGACGCACGCCAGAGACAAACCCATGTTGATGGACATGTTAACGACGCAACTCTGGTTCGTTTTGCGTGACAGGAAGATGTGGTCTCCGAATTGGAAAATGTAAAGCTCATTTATCGCATGTGCAGCAAGTTTGTGACATCAAGCTAGGGATGCACCAATCAGACCTTTTCAGTCCCGATACCGATATCTGTACCTGGGCTGTGGGTATCTGCCGGTACCAAGTACCGATCCAACAAGCTGAATGCAACTCTGTGAGGAAGAAATACATACATGTACTAAATTATTATTAATTAAAATAATAGTATCTGATACCATATCAAGCTATTTGAGCCAATATCGGACCAATATCAGGATCAGTATCGGTGCTTCACTACATCAAGCTGAATTAGATGCATAAAGAAACATCACACACCATTACTGTGGTGGTGGGCTTATTAAATTACAACATGCATCTTCTTACAGAGAGTCCTTGTGTGCAGAATAAGTCGGGGAAATTGAACTGTTCTGCAGTAGCACTTCATTTCTCTCTTCTCTGCACACATTTCTGCAACAAAAGAGGGGGGGGGGCTGGATTTCATGTCATTAATACGGGAAGCTTCAAAGGGCTTTGGGGCTCCGAGTCAATACAGCGATTAGTTTAATTAAACCTATAAGTCTATATGAGAGTGTAGAAGAGATTCACATACATGCCCTCCATTGACTGCACTCTTGCAATCGATTATTCATTAACAATCATCATGAGGTAGCCCCCCCCGCCCCCTCCCTGGGCGGTGCGAGTTGCTGCCACATCAGCATTTTCCAAAAAGTCTGGTTGGTGTCAGCTCTTCTTCTCCTCCATCACACTGCCTGGTGCCATTAATCAGGCCTCCCACGAGGGGATGCACCACCAACCCTCATTCATTTGAGCTATACTCCCCCCCCCTTTTCTTCATCCATTTCACTTCACTAAGTTAATGATTAACCTGCCTGAGTCTATCACCCTCTCTCTCCCCACGACACACACAGAGTCCGTACTCTCAGCTCAGAGAATGACAGTTATTTCCTGCCCCCGCGCTTCCTCCTCTGCCAAGTAAGCGCAGATGCTTATTTCCACGTGCAAATGCAATTTCAATCATCCCCCCCCCCCCCCGGTACTGCCCCCATCCACCCATGAGCTGTGCCTCACCCAGGCATTTAGCACCTGGCTGATTGCTACCAGTGTGGGCGAGACAGTGAGAGGGGAGTTGAAGGGAATAGAAGCGGGGACTTGCAAATTGGGAAAGGGTGCTACTTTTATAAGCTGACCATGTAATCACAGCTGTACGCCATTGCTGCGGTTGAATCATCCACGGATCTATGGAGCACATTAGGTTTTTTTATTTTTTATTATGAAGCACTCTCTCAGGCTGGGGCATGCTTTTAGGGCAACATGCCCGTAACTGACACATCTCAAATGGCATGTCCAGAGCGAGGCTTGCCATCTCCGCTTGCCTCAGCTCGCCCTTTGTGACTCTCAGGCAATCACAAGAGAGATAGAAAGACAGAAGCACGCTCAAGCCTGCTTCTATTTTAATGTCGACATTTACAGTACGATGCACAAGAGGAAGAAGCTCTGAAGGGAAAGTGCTGGCACCACATGGACAAAGAGAGGGCATCTGGCCACTGGAGCTTTATACAGAGCCAGCATGAGAATAATGACATACATGGGGGAGGGGGTAAAGACAACACAGGACACTGGAGCAGAAAGAAACAGAGTGACAGTGACAGGTTGGTCAGTAGCCACATTGTTAAAGCTGATCTTTCGAGAAATCAACTAATCTCTTGTCACTAATTCAATGTAGTTAGATACAAAATTATCACGACCATTTCAGTGCTTATAATCATGAACTCAGGCTTCGTGACTTCTTGCAAACCTGGCTGCTGAGCGCTCATTAAACTCATCAGCGATGTTAGCCGAGAAACATCATTATTCTATTAGCATATTGCCCTGCATACATTGCATTTGAGTTAAAGCTCTCCACAGAAAGCCGTCATTTACCCGGTTTGAGACTTGTTACGTGTCTTTTCATGCATGCAGCTCAGATGAGTCACAGATGCTTTACAACTGAAAACAGTACTAACCCCAATGAAAATTCTAATCCACTTCAGCCCCAGATCCCCCCATACTTTCATTTTATAAGTCAGCAGAGCTGCAGCGAGAGCTACGTTTCAGAACTAATGCCGCACTGAATGTGGCTGTGCTCAGTATAAGAAGGTACTGCACTCATTACTGTGCATGGAGTATTACAACCTTAAGCCCATCGACACTGAAAGGATTGATGAAACTGGAGACCAAATCTGAATTGAAATTCTTAGCTGAGGTTTATTTTCATGAGACGGTTTGGTCATGTTTTCTCTTAATGTTTTAAGTAAAGTCAAATAAAAGACCCCCTAACACCCAAGACCATCTGGCTTTTGCCTTCAGTGGGAAAGGTTACAATCACGTAACAAGTGATGCTCGTTGAAGTGAATATATGATAAATAAAATCAACAATTATTATAATTCATTGACGTACAAAACATACAGTTAATATGCTCTCCTCAGAGCCACCAGACAACAGCAACTTTAGCTTGCTGGTCATCAAAATACACTTTATTCAAACTCAAAGTAAAACTCATCTTATCTTTGTTAGTCTCTCCACTGTTCAAACACCACCTCTGGTTTGAGAGTTTGAAAGAGAGACTGAATAAATAATATCTATAAACAGATTCTGAATTCACATGTAGTGGCTGGAGGTAACGGTACAAGATTTTGGTATCGGAAGCGTTTGTTTTTGTAGTCCGAGAGATTCATCCAATCACGTTTGAGCATGCTTTGGATGAATTTAGGTAAATAATCCATGTGGAGAGCATTGCATTGATGATAGCCCACCGGCTATCATCTCTCAACCCCAACTCTAGTCATGCATCTCAAGTTGTTAACTGGAGCGTAAAAACAACAAGCAGCGCACGGAAAAGGAAGTCTTGGCCCGGATGTCCACCAGCTACACAGGAACCCTGGAAATATTGACCCCTCACCCCCAGAGGGTCATCGTCGTGAGACCGATAGCCGCTGGGTTCAGAGATTGCTGAATAAGTAACAGATATAAAAAAGAAGTAACCACCGTAACAGTTTCACTCTTCACTAACCCTGTTTTCCGTTTGTGACATTGACCAAAAAAAACATAAGGCATACTCAACTGGCACTGGAAGAGGAGTCTGTTGCATATTTTATCTGGGTTTCCCGTGTTCAAAACACTAACATTTCCGCAATCATTTTGGTGTAAAAATGTGAGTAAGTAATGTTTTTTTACAGTGCAGTGGCCCTCCCCAGCCCTGCCCCGTTCACTGCCCCTCCTGTGTTTGCCCCCCGACTGTCTGCTCCTGGCGAAGCCTCTCCCACCCGTCCAGCTCTCCACTGCGCTGTGGTCAGATCACAGAGCCGGGGATTACAGCAGATTATCCTGCCCACAGGATCACCGACCCGACTCCGGGGAGGCCAACCACAGAGAGCCGTTTCCTCCGCCTCTAGAACACATGCCTTTCAGGAAGAAGCCGGAGGGATTGGCCGCAATCACACACCTGGCAAATGCCACAGGAAAGGGATTTATTTTATAGGCTACACTAGACAGGATAATCGGCCTTTATTCTGCGCAGCAACAGGCCCTCCTCATTGTGAAAGGACAGCCACCATCAACCCTCTTAATCTATTAATGCACTGTACAAAATAAATTCCACCTGGATTGAGTGGTTCACATTAGACACACAAAGCTCTTAGCGCAGGGTTTCCTTTCACCTGAGGAATTTCGGGCTCTGCTGCTCTGCGGATTGTCTTACACTTTGCGTTCTTCGAAAACCCACCAGAGAACGTCCGTCACTTTAGATCACCATCAGCAGATCTCTGAACTCTCAGGAGTCCTTTCTCAGGTGGAGGCCGACTGCCTCTGTCACCGCCGTGTCTGCTTCACGGGTTGCTCAACTTTCATCTCTGTTTAGATGTGACATGGCCTCCTGCACAGCGTTTGTTACATTTCAAATTCAACACTACAGTGAGTGAAGTGAGAAAGTATTAGAGAGCATTCACACATTCTCTGTTGTGCTGAAAGACTGCCATGGCCATATTCAAAGGGGACCCCACCAAGAAATGTGAATGATACTGGATCGACTTGACACACAGTGCTGAGCTGCATCTCAGATTAATCCCCCCCCCCCCCCCAAAAAAAACAGACAGAAATGTATGGAGTGGAAGAGGTAAATGTTGCCTTTTTTCTCA